GTTTCTCCTGAAGGTGGAGAGGACTGAGCATATAGCAGGGTCTCTAACAGGAGGCTGAACCTGGGCTGAAATACTGTCTGTCTGCACAACCGGGTCTTTAGATGATGTTACAGTACAGACGCCTGGACAAAAACACCAATTTATGAAGTTATTGCTCTGGTAACTACACAAAAATGGTTAAATTAAGATTAAATTCAGATCCATGATTCACAAGATGGAATGATAAAGGAAGCATCATTATAATCAATAACTGAATGTTTACTGACCACCATTCTGTGTCGGAGACCCCATCTTTACAGGATTCTCACTATAGAGAAAGACAAAATGTTAAGTCTTAGAATCATTTAGCACGAGTTTTCATTATACCGTTTTTATCGTCACATTATACTGACACAAATTAGATTCATGCTATTTATAATTCACATTAAATGTTTCTGTGAACATGTACCTAGAAGTCCCTTTGGCACTTGGATTTGGCCCTTTCATAAGAGCATGTTGAACGAGTCCAGTAAGACTGGCTATCTGCTGCTCCATTGCCTTTATTCTTTCACTGCAAAACACAGGCCACATGACTCACTTCATTAAAGAGATAATTCCATAAATTATCACATTCTATTCAGCTGAGGATCTAAGGAGTATTAAACAGTGCTAACAATGCTAAAGGGGGAACCAGCAAATTATATTGCCTTTCTCTGTTCCTGAGGGCAAAACTGTGGTGAACTTTTGTATTTGAGGCATGGTAGTATATATGTGAATTTTGGGCTTTGCCCTCTTCTCAATTACATTTAATTTACTTCACCACACAACATGACTATTGTGTTATTTTCCCCATCAGCCTTTGATTACTCATGCACTATTTGAACAAATAACAACACCAGAAGAAAGGGAAAGGTTTTAATATCATAGAATATACACATGAGCCTCAGTGTGTCTGAAAAACATTTTGTGTTGTCTCACAGCACAATAAGCTGCAGCTAATTTAAAAAAGTCCCACCTCTGAGGATTTCCGGCTGCCACGTGTCCTTGAAACGACCTCTCTACATGACCGGGCAGAAGGTCGGCGAAAACAGGGGAGACCACGTTGCCTCTCACCCTGGTCACCGCCTCCACGGCTCCATTACTGTCCTTGCGGAAAGATCTTTGCACAGGTGATGCTCTTTCCGCTGCCACACCTTGTGAGGACATGTGGGAGTTCTGTCCTGGGAGCATGTCAATCATTCTGACCTCACTGACCCTGTGAGGGGAAGCAGGCGGTGTTTTGGAGCCCATCGAGGCAAGCTGACTCTCACTGTACTTGCGAGATTTCTGTCTGTAGAGGGAGTGCTGCAGATCCTGGCCATCTGCATACGCTCCGACAGACTTGATGGAGCGGTGCTGGATGTACACCGCCCCATCTGGGATGTCTCCGGTATGGCTGCCTTGAAATGAGGCTACACTGTGCCTGGCCTCAGACGAACCGTATGCTTCTGAATACAAAGGAACACTCTTGCTGCTCAGATCCTCATCCGGTTTCACGTCCCGGCGCTCCAGGATGGCACTGGGGCAGGGTGTGATGGAGCGACTGGGGAGCACGTTGGACAAACGGTCCCTGGGTAAGGTAGCGCCACCAGGCTTGGCAACAGAGTGACTGAAGGGGATCCTGGAAGGGGAGGAGGGCATGGAGCGTGGTGTAGGAGGAGACAAGGAGCCCTGGACTGAATGTATGGGACTGTGAGGCAATGTGTGCACTGGGCTTTGGCCTCCCGGCTGCTCTCTGCCACTGTAGAGCCTCTCTCTTGTGATCTAGGGATAGACCGAAAAAGCATATCAGAGGGAATTTGGGTTAAAAAAAGCAGGTTTTCGAAGGGTCTGTAACACTTTGGTGTAAGAAAGAAAAACTGTAAAATAATGGTTATCAACTGGTTTTCATTTAGCTGAAAACCAAAACTGAAAATAAAGTTTGGGTAATTCAATTTGGGTAACCGACATTCTGGGTGTCATTTTCCCTGTTGATAAATTAAACCAGTCATAGGGAAGTTATTTGGCAACGAACTGCCTCTCAATATTTCAGCCAAACAATTTTTATATATTGCTACACTTGCATAATTTTTGGTCATGGTAAAGTGCATTCACACTGCCGACATGTTTACCTGTTGTAGCTTATCCATGTTTTGTGCACAAAATAGGAACTGACATACTCAAAATGTGTCATTGGAAAAGTGCTAAGTGTTTCGATCAGTGGTTTCAGCCCTCCAAAACTATTGTGGCCGAAACGGAAAATTTAAATATTATAATTTTCAGAAAATTCGGTGCATGACCAATATATTTATTCACCGCATAAAAGACATCATAGTCAGCGCTAACCACATTTACTCTTGTTGCAAGTAATTTTTTAACTCTTATTATTTATCTAATTATTTTATCTTAGATTTGTACTACTGCTCATGGCTTTTTGCATGTTTTCGCTCATGGTTTTGGAATCAGTTTAATTTGGCTAGTTTCAAACAAGCAACAGATACATTTGTGCCAAAATACTGTAGAGTGTAACTGTTCACAAAACCTTTGATGCCAGTAACAAAATATATAGAAAACAATTTTCCTCCCTTTTAAAAGCTGATAAGCTTATACTTTGCTATAACTGTGCATGATTATATGGTTAGTTGCATTGTATTATTTACATAGATTGCATTGTTTCTTTGTTTCCTCTGGCTGTCCGTGACCATGTTATTCAGAACGCTATCCCACCAGTTGAAAACTGCTGGTAAACAACTCTCAAAGAAAGTCAATGGATATGAAAAGGATCTTTGAATTTAATGAAAAGGAGCTTTTTATTACATATTTGTCACGAAAATGATTAATCTTCACAGAGAAGTTTTCAAAGCAGGAAACTAAAAACAAAAATTGTATTGTATGACTGTGTTGATAAGATTTATGTTCAGACATATGTGCACAGATGTGAACAAAAGATGGAACCAGTACAAAAGCACAGACAATAGCCCTGCCCAGACCTGACTTTGTACAGTGGTCATGCTTAAGCGTGCAGTAATAAAGCCCACAGACGGAGTGTGCGTGCAGCTGAATTATCCGCCATTCAGAGTTTAATGTTTAAAGACGAACAATATTCTCCAAACCTGTCCTTATAACCTCAGGTCTAGTTTCAGACCACATTAATAAGAGGAACCAAGAAAATTATAATTGCACTTAATGCATTTGGTTGATGATTTGGCTATATGCTTAGATCCTGAAAACTGTATCATATGAATGACAAGACAATACAAGCTTCAAATAAAATACCTGAGAGTTAAGTCTGTCTGTCATTACTTCTTAAAGATTTCTTTAAAGAAATTTGCTGTTAGAAACAGACCAAGTTCTCATGAAGGACAACCCAAACTGAGTCAGGCATGTTTAAACAGGTGCAGCCATAGTTTCATTATTGTATTATCTAAGCTCAAAATAGGTGTCTTATTTCAATGGGTGCATAAAGGCCTCCATAAAATTAACTTAATATTTCTCATGTGACCACAGGAACCAAATGTACTGCAAACATGCATGTTTAAACGCAAACGTCTCTAGGACCTTTAGTTTGCCACATGTCAGAAGTGATGCAAAGCACCTGGGAAAGCTAATTCACAGAGCATCACCGTACATGGGTCTATAAAGTATGTGTATGAAGGACAAGCTTCAACTTTCAAGAGATTTGCAGCATTGATAAACAGCCAAAATGAAAGGCCAATATATCATCAGGCCCAAACATTACAGAAAATGGGTCCATTTTTGCAATCCTTCAAAATAAGTGCATCACATCAGCAAACGTGTCTGTGCATGTTTGCTTTCTCATGCTCTCGGAGGACCTGTTTTACACATCCATTTGTTTTTAGTTCCTATCATCCCAGTAATCTAAAATTTGGTTTAGTTGGGAAAAGGGTTTCCCAATACTACAACATGTGAGCAGAGTGCCGTGTTTTTGCACAGCTGTGCCAGTGAAACTACTGCAGGGTCACATGTTGGAGATCTTATTGTCCCAGGAACGCAAATTGACACATGTGCAAAACACACTGTGTTGAGATAAAATGGGAGTGGCCGGTTGGTCATTCCAGCAGTGATGGAACATGTGTACAGGCACTTCCTTCTGCGAAATGACTAGTTGGTCCACTAACTTGTCAGGAACTGGTGAGTTCAGATGCTTTTTAGTGGTGGTGCTCTAAAGGGACTAAATTTGGAAATCCAACATTTTGCAGATTTTAGCTTTAGTGTGCAAACTGTAACTGTCAAAACGCTAAAACCATCTGTGAGATGTTATGTTTATAAATTCATCCCATTTAAAGTATTGCTGCTCCAGCCAACAAAGCATCACTTATCAAACAAATTCAATAAATTGAATGCATTTCTATTAAATTTCAAATGGCCTGCTGCATGTGAACAATGTTCCTGTTATTATTCATTGGGTTCCCACACATTTGAACCAATTTATTTCCATCCCTTTTCTCTCAATTAGTGGTCAAGAATTTTCAAACTAATTTCACAGAGACTAAACCCCCCAAAACATTGAATAATGTAGAGCTGAGCATAACTAATATATATATATATATATATATATATATATATATATAT